CTTGATAAGGTCAGCCCGCTGGGTTCCGTGCGGAAGAGGATGAACGCGAAATCGGCGCGAGGCGGCCGCTTTAACGAAGGGGACGTTCGGGCGAAGGAGGCTGAAGAGAGCTTCTTCATCACTATCCTTAGCGCGGATACCGAACTTGGATCCCAAGCGAGCTACAGAGATTGCTTTGGGTGCGGTTCGTACGATATGCCGCGCCGCGTCCTTTGATGCCCCCGGCATCGTTCGGGCCAGCGCCCTCATCCGCTCTAGGTTCCACATATACCCCTGCATGCTGGACCATCTGGAGCTGGTCAACTGCCGACTTCGGCACACGGAGAAGGACTCCAAAGACATCAGCCTTTGCTGGTTCGGCCCGTTTGCCGTCCAATGTCTGAAACTGCCTTGACCAAAGATCCAATATCATTTGGTCCACTTTTTCCTCTATGGCTGGGTGGAAAGCAGGGCAGTCGATCCCGCATTCAACGCCTGAGCAAACCTTCATGGCCGGCACTGCTTGAATAAGCCACTTAATCGGTCCCTGAGTAATTTTATCCCACTCAAGGGGGACCTCATCCCTGAAGATGGTGACTCTGCAGACTCCCGTGGCAAAAGCAGAAGGCTCAGCAATTGTGCCTTGGGCAAGGGCAACCAGCTCGTCACCTAAGTTGATGATGCTACCTGTAAGAAGCATTGCCTCACCATTAGGCTGGTAGACTACCGGAAACCCCTCGGTGCTAAAGGTGCGGTTGGCCTTAGTGTCTGGCGGAAGAGCAGAGGTTGTCACCAAGCAGAGAGGGTCAGCACTCAAGGAGTCTCCCTGAAGAAACGGGACAGCTTGAGAGGCACTGCAAAAGGCAAGTCCATGGGCATCACTCGCAACCTCCTCAAAGCGGATTTGGTGCACAGAGCTGCCGTCTGCTGTGACGAAGGAACCCTCAGCAAGTGCTAATGACCTAGGATCAACCTCAAGCTGATTAGTACCTCTTTTGGCTGCATCAGACTTCTGCTTCTTCTGCTTGCCTTGTGGCACCGCGGCACCATGCACGTCAGCGGCTTTCTCACGGATTTTCTGCTCAAGTTCCTCCGGAAGGATTAGTCTGAAGCTACTTCCAGGTCTTGAAGCGGCTGCCTTTAAGCTTGGCCAAGGTTTTGCCGACTGCAATGCCTGCACCAGAGCGGAAACCCCGACCTTCTTGGTAAGGTCAGTCACCCTTTCTTCTGCTTTCTCTGGTGGAACGCCTTTGGAAACGAGCAAGGCCGATAGCTTTGCAGCTTCAGCGACTGACGGTCCGCCACGACCTGAGTGCAGGCAGTGGACAGGGGTGCCGGATTCAAGGTTGGCTTGCAAGCGAAGGAGGGCTTGAATTGAGGCGGCTTGTTGGCCGCCAACAACAAGAGCCGCATGAGCAACTGCGACTGTCCCGCAGCTGACGCCATCGTCCTGGCAGAACCACTGCCTATGCTTCAGGGCTGTGAGCTTCTTTCCCCAATGGAGACATATCACCCGCGCAGCCTCTTGAGCATGGTCGAGCAGATCTTGTCCCAGTCCATCGAGGTAAATTGCTTCAACGGCGCCGCAGTCATTTGAGGTAAGGCACAGGCATGCCCAATGACCACCCGCCTCTATGCCACCTACAAAGGAACGTATTCCTTGGAGTGCATCCCAGCCTGGCATAGAAATACCTTCCCGGACTGAAGCTCGAATCAGTCCTGAGATGGCCCCAGGCGCCAGAGTGAACCAGCCAGGAGGAGCACTATGAACCAAGCGTTGAATGGCGGCATGTATGGCAGAGTCTCCCAACAACCCGGCTTGCGGCTGCACAACATGGACCTCCCGGACATCTAAAAGACACCCGTGCTCAAGGACCTGTTCATTGCAGATCAGCGCCTGTGACATGAGATGCCTGACCTGTGTGTGTGTGGCTTCCCGGAGGCTTGGGAGCGCTATTGAAGCAAGGTCTTTGACCGTCAAGATGTGTACCTCGATTTGCTTGGTCAGCGTGGTGGCCTGAGCTTTAGCTGAATCGGAGGACACCTGAGTCTTCCCTGAGGATGCAATCTCCTGAGTCTCAGGCTGTTGCTGATCAGGAACCTTGAAGTCAGGCTGGCTGTGGCAGACTGCAATACACGGGTTCAGGGCGGAAGCACACGGGTTTGGGGGAGCAGCCTGCCCAAGTTTGTCCGGTCCAGGAGCATTGGATTGATTCTGCTGCCTTGCTGTCAAAGACCTGTTCCTGTCAGAAACTGCCCAGAACACGGGTTTGGGTTTGCCAGACACGGGTTGGGGTCTCCGACACGGGGTGAGGAAACCTGCTTGTCAGCTTGGGGATCTGCGAATCCTTCAGGAAGGTGTGTCTTGCAGGGCTCTCCCTCTCCAAACCAAGAAAGCGGAGGGGAGGCGCACTTGAGGGTCTGCCCAGGATAGGCCTGAGGAGTGAAGAGGCACGGGTTAGGGTGGCCAACACGGTCAACCTGGAGACCCTCAGCTGCTTGAAAGGTCCTCTTCCTGCTCGAGGTCGGCTCTGTCCCTGCATAGGTTGCCTGAGAGGAGATGCACAGAGGTGGCGATGCAATGGGCAAGGCGAGCTCTCGAGCAACCGGAGTCCACTTGATTTCGACAGCTTGAACGCTGGCCGGGATGTAATCTTCCGGGTCAAGAGGCTGTCCATTGACATACACCTGAAATGAAGCCTCAAAGTGTTGGAGCTTTGCATGGGCCTCAACAATGTCACAGGCTCTTGTAGGTCTCGAAACCTTTACCTCGAAAGCACCTTTCGCGTCCGAAACCTTGAGCTGGCGTGGACTCAGCATAGCTGGCACGATCCAGGTGACAGACTGCTGGTGCAAGAGGCGGCTCTTGAAGACCTCCAGCACCTGTGCTGCCCCAGGGGGTGGAGGGAGTCCTTTTTCCCTTGCGGCCCAATTCGCAACGTGCAAAAAGATCCAAAGCGACTGCAGAGGAGATGCAATTTGCCCAATCAGACTCAGGGCAGCACGGGGCGATTTAGGGAACACAAAGGATGCGTGCACCCCATTCAAGAAGCCCAGTTCATGAGGATGGATGTGGCGCAGGCATCCCAGCCTGGCAGAAACAACAGCGAAGCCACGAAGGCCGTCTCGCAGCAATCTCGCTTCGGAAAAGCCCTGGTTTCGACACCCGCACGGGCATGCGGCAAGCGCGTTTCCATACGAGTGTAGGGCTGTCGGTGCTGGTTGCGCCATGTCCAGGCGTCGGTTGTCAGTGCCATAGCGAGGGTCCTCGAATTTGGCCTTTTCCTGTTGAGTCAACAGAAGCTCACGCTCCTCTTCTTCTTCCCAAATTGGCCAAGCTTGGATTAACTCCCCGATGGCTTTTGGTCCATCAGAGACAGGCCATGGCAGCAGTTGCAACTTGCTCTGCCCCTGAGGCAGAATGACTGACCACCATCGCTTCCTGCGTGCTATCCATTGGTCCTTAAGGTCTAAAACCGTACTCTGAGCCCTCATACCTAGCTTGCTCGCCAGCTCTTCTATGCTTCGCAAGATAGTCGGGTGCTGTGCGACCTCACTTACGCATTCAAGGATAAGGCCAGCGCATTGCATCAGCCAGGCTGTCCTGAGAACTCCCTTCAGGACATCAGATCGCGGATCTTGCAGGGCCAGTCCTGAACCTTGCCTTGAATACGGCTGGCATGGAAAGCCAGCCGACAAAAGCACCGGGAATGCTGGGCTGAGCATGTGCACCTGTTGCTGCGTGCTCCGCTGCATGATGTCCGCCTGAAGCACCTGGGCACCTTTATTCATTTGCAAAACCTCAACTGAGAGTGGGCTTTTGTCAACGAACAAGCATGTATGTACGCATGCAGCCTGGGCACCTAAAGAAATACCCCCCCATCCCTGCACAAAGTTCAACCAAAGTCCTATAACTGGCGGAACAAGCATGGACATGTTGCTTAGCTTGTGCTCCTTCTCCCGGCTCCAAGCAGGGAATCCCCCCAACATCCTCGACTCTCAAATAGCCATGGAAAGTCCAAAGCCCATCGAATGGTCGCTTCCATCCCTTGACCAGGAAAACTTCCCCATGCCACCTGCCCCGGCAGACGGCCAAGTCTCCCTTTGACCCCTCAATGGAAGCCACCAAATCCAGTAAAGTTCCGGGCTCCGTCGCCCTTAGCAGTGCATCACCTGTCTCCATGGCAAACAACCCCTCAGGTCTCGGTAGCTAACGATCAACCCCTGGTAGGTGCCTGAGCCAGACTCAGGGTTTGAGGGTTTAGGGTTCTCGGCTCACTCGGTCTAGGGTTTAGGGTTTAGCTAGCAAGAAGAAAAACCTCACCACCATGACCCCTACCGCCGCTGCTTCGGCCGATTTTAACACTCCTGGCAGTACTCATGCTACTGCTGCTACTACTACTACTACTACGACGACGACGACGACGACCACCACCACTAGTACTAGTACTGCTAATACTGCTACAGCTGTTTTTGCTTACTTTCCTCCTCCTGTTGTGGCTACTTCTACTGCTGCAAGGTCAACTTCTAACTCCAGTACTGGAAGGGAGAACTGCACAATATCCAAGCTGGAAAGAAGGTTCACAGCTTGGCATATGATATGAGCCATAGTCTAAACTGCTTAAAGGGGGTTATATAGGGGATTATATAGGGGACTACTATAGGGCTTATTAAGGGGGATACTAGGAGTTTAGACTATAGCCCATATAACCTTAGGCTGGTTACAAAGTGCTTGGACTGTAGGAGCTGCAGCGACAGCTAGCTATGAATGACATGTTCCTTTCCAAGGTGCCCATTTGAAAGTATAGTCCCCCTTAAGTAGATAGAATATGGCTTTGGGTATACTGTAATAGGACCCCCATATATCCCATATTCTATCTACTTAAGGGGGACTATAGGTTGTGTCGTCTTCTATGGTAGCACGAAATCACTACCATCTTAGAGAGTCATGGAAGGCTTTGCTGCCACACCCCCTCGAACGGAAAAGCCCCCTTGTACAAACATGGACTCCCAAAAAAGCCCTATGAAAATCCTTTGTTCCAGTTCCAAGAAGTCCAAGCTTCATCCAACATGCGGAAAAGCTGTTCCAGATCAACGGCATCAATATCCATGACACGGAGGCGGTTCTGAAACTCTGGCACCTGTGGAGATGACTAGATTCAAGTGAGGGACCCATGTAAATGCTGTGGGATCTTCGAGTCGTGTATTGGGTGGTCATCGTAGTCATTGTCCTGTTAGTGGGGCAAGGGACCCCATAAATCCATAACATCCGTGGTTGCTGTAGGTCGCAATCTCTCAACGAGCAGCTCAAGCCTACATACCAAAAAGGTAAGGTCGCACACGCATGTTACTTGAACATGTCGAAAGATGCCACCTTTTTGTAAGCAGCCACAGCCCAAGTGCAACTTTTTGCAATCTCGCAATCACTCCACCAATTTCGCAGGCAGTCTTTGGACTGGAGGCTGACTAATATCAACCCTGTAGCACTTCATACCTCCAAACGTCAACCCCATATCTCAACATGTCGGGGCCAAACTATCCGCACGGTCCCTACATCTCCTACTCAAAAACCGCAGTTCACTTCCTTAAAACATAGCGCTCCCTGCAGGAATCCATAGAACTTCCCGGGCGACTCAAGCGGTAGGTGGGTGCCCTGAAAAGTAAACCCAAAACCTCCTCAAGCCTGAATAATCAAAAACACTCCGACGTTAAACCAGGACATTCCACCTAAGCTATCCTAAACCCTCTACTTACGGATTCTTAAGAGGGAATAAATCCATATATAGTGTAGTCCCTTATTCCCTACTAAGAACCATTAAGTAAACCCTCGAGGCCCTTCACCTGAAACCGGATAAGCTCTAAAGCGGCCTGCTCAGCGCCCCGAAGGAGCTCCTGAAGTGAGAGCTCGCCATCTCCGTTCGCATCCACCGTCCTCCGTGGCTTAGCAGCTGATGGCTTAGGAACCCTTAAAACCTAAAGCATAAGCCCCAAACCCTAAGCCCTTAAGCTCTAAAGCCTGAACCCTAAACCCGAAATTGGGTGGTCAAGCTCAGGGAGGGCTTGGGGATGTCAGCTCTCAGGGTTGAGTGCTCATGGGGTTCGGTCGTTCGGAATTCAGGGTGCGGGGCACCAGGGGAATCATGACGAATCATACCGTGTACCCAGGGAATACTGATGAATCATGTAGTCAGCAATGGCGCAGTATTCCGGCTTGGAGATGTTGTGCACGCAGTTTAGGGTTCCTGCGTCGCTATTAAGGAACTTGAGCTCGATTCCTAAAATAAGGAAACCCTACTACGTACTATGTACCCATAGTACGGTAACTTGATGTAGGGCCCTGAACCGCAACCCAGTTTAGGGCTCACTTGCCCGCTTGCCATAATAGCAGAGACGGGAGGCATGGATGCCTATGTGGGGGGTTTCCCAAGATTAGGGGTACCTAGTTGGGGGTCCCCATAAAAGATGTTAAACTATGTTGGAGTATATATTGGGGTCCCCTTTTTGGGAAACTACCATATATGCCCTACGAATATACTGTGGTACTTTTCATTTTCCCGTCCACTCCTCCATTCCCTACTAGCAACCAACAACAAGAAAAACCTGCACATTGCAACACAACTATACACCTCAGTTACCATTTCATTGTCGATGTCCCTTTCCATGTCAAGGGCTTGCTTCACAGGCTAGCCTGCCCAAATCTTAATAATCCTTATTAGGGGAACCCAAAATGAGGTACCCTAATTTTGGGAGACCCTAAACCTGATAGATAGCTAGATATCCCTATATAAACGCTACAGTATATCCTCTGCAAAGGTACCCCCAATTTTGGCAAACCCCCTTCTTTCTCTGCAGGTCAGGGTTGAGGGCGGAGCGCTCGCCTCGAAGGGCATGGAGCTGGGGCAGAATGTCGGACACTCTTCTTATTTGCGTGTGTGTCAGGTCTTGGGGTAAGACCCTCCAATTACCGGCGAAAGTTGAAGTAGACTGCCTGAAATTCATTCATGAAGCCCTACCTACCTTCCACATCCCAGAACTCCGAACTCCACTACAATTGCTGTTGGGCGCCATGAAGGTGACTAATGGTGACTAATTTACCAGTGAATGACTTGGGCTTTCCCTACCACACCCCACCTTCCATTTGAGTACCCATCCCCCAGAGGAGCCCAATGTAAATTCAATAGGGCTTAGGGTCTAGGGTTTAGGGTTGTATCCTAATTCTCCGTATAGTCCCCATATAACCCATCAAAACCCACACTCTTTCACTGCTTCTGAGCTTCTTGAACATGGCCGCCAATCTCCTGAGACGCGGCCAGAAACTTTCCAAGAGAAATCGCGGCGGTTTCGGGTGTTGGGGTTTGGGGATCTTAGGGCTGTTGGAGTTTTGGGGGTTTAGGGTTCCCTAAACCCTAAACCCTAAACCGGTTGTAGTTTTGAGGGTTTGACGGCTTGAAGGCTTGGGATTGAAAGTGCATGCCTTTACTCCCCCAACAATGAAAGCAACGCTCAAAACTCTTCCAACATCGTTCTAAATTCATCGGATGCCTTCTCAGGAATTCCACAACATCCTCAGGTGGGAGATGCCCCTTAACAAGCCATTCCTGAAAACCCACATCGACATGCAGGCTTGTTCCTCCATGAAGGGCTCTGAAATCTTTGGGCCCCACATGCCCAACCCACCGTAAAGAGTTGGCAACATGAACCGTGTGCCACCATCTCGACGGGAGCTTGGACAGCTTGGCTATACTTCTACTGTTTACATGGCTTTTCCAGAAGTTGGGATTCGCAATGATTTCAACGTTCGTTGCTGTTGCATCTTTGCCGGGAACCCAACTCCTTACTTGAGTAGGAGCAAGGTTTTAGGGTTGAGGGTTTAGGGTTTAGGGTAGTGGTCCTCTCACCCAGTAATCGGAAGTAACTATGTGAAATGCTGGTGACCATATGAGAGTCCTCCTACATACCTTTTTGTTACCACTTTTACAAGGCGGGAGCTCCACCTAAGGCCTGGCCGGTATGGCCTTAAAATGTTCCCTCAATATCCCAATTGTATGTTGGCAGTGATAGCTTGGGGCCTGGTTGTCGGAACGCGGACGCCCCGTGAAAAAATGGCCAAGAAGCTTTAAATCTTCCTCCAACTCATAATCCAAGTCTGCGGCCAGAGTCGTTATGTCCTTCCAGGCAACAAATCTCGATGACATCAACAAGTGCAACTCTGTAAATGACGGAAGAAATCCCAGTGTTTGGAACCATAAACCCGAAACACGCCCGAGGTTTGGAAGCCCTGGGGCTTTTACAGTCGTGAAATGGACAAGGATGACATGTTCATCCTCAAGAAGCATACAGTCATATACAGTCCTTTTCCCTCTGCTCCATGGCGGCATCCACGATTACCTTGCATAGCCCGAGAAAGATCAGAATCCCACGCACAGACCACGGGGCAAGTCTATTCTGGGTTGAAATCACGGCATTGTTCTGATGTCGTGAACCCGTCCGTTGACTGTTCTTGATAGGGCATTTTTTGCTCAACTCAGCTGCCTTCAGGAGCTTCACCCCTCAGAAGCCCTGCGTACCTCCGTATTCGCAGACCCGGGCTGTGAAACCTACGCGTAACCTTATCCTGAAGCCTCTACAATCAATCGGCTTGCTAGCAGCAGGCATGGTAGTACCTACCATGACCCAGCGGAGGCCTTATAAGGAAGCAAGCCATGGAAGTACAAATTCAGGAATTTCCGCAGGGCAATGGACACGCTTGCAGACGCGATCATCTTGGCAAGTCTTGTTGAAAGAAAGTGGGAACAGCATGCGCTTGCATCTGCACTTTTGACGGATGCAAGTGGAAGCGGCTGCTTTTGTAGACATACATCATCCATCTAAACCACTACGCATGTCTCCTTAAATCAGCCCCTTTAAGGAGCTTGGACTACAGCTCCTGTGGGGGTAGCTGGGCATGGCTACTATATTTTCCTGGGGACGGGATGGTGAAGCCTGCTGCAGCCTGAGAGCCTTCTACAGGGCCCTATTTGATGAGAAAAGGTTTAAGGGTATATTGTATTGTGATTAGTGATTACATAGGGAGTATGAGGGGATAATACTGGTACTCATTTCGGCTTCTACAGTAGCATTTTTTGGGCGTCAAGGCGTCAACCCCTTAGCAAGCATAGCTGCCTGTCCACAGCTCGTGGGAGGGCTAACCCTAACCACTAAACAGTTAATCAGCATTTTACCCAGAACCCCTAAGGGATCCAAAAATGGAACCCTCCCAATATGAACCCATTACTACCTTGGGGAAAATGGGGGATTATTAGGGGGTTCCATTTTTTGGATCCTTTAGGGGGTCTTGGGTAGAGCCCATCCCCAGAACTCCCACATTTTTGGTATAACCAGCAGTACAATGCCTGCGGACAGGTCACTGCCACCACCAGATTCAAAATGCCATACACGACGGAGACAAGGGCGCCCACAAAGATGATAGCTGTATAAGGCTGCCTGCGAATCCTGAGACACGGAGATTACCCTTTGGGGTTTAGGGGTTTAGAGATTAGGTTTGGGGATTTAGGGGATTAGCTGCCCCGTCACTAACGTGGAAACTCTCCATGTAGGCAACATCTCTTAGAACTGTGGGCATCTCTATGAGGCATCTGTTCTGCTTTCATGTTTTGCTTTATTTTTTTTGGTGGTTCTAGGGTTACCTGCAATCCTGAAGCCCAACCTTGTATTCTTGTTCTCAATCATGTTACATTTAACGTCGATATTCTTCAAATTATTTTACCCAAAACATGGCAATAATCTTACTCTGTACTAGGAGCTATAACAACTCAGCAAGAACACGCTACACATGAAATTTCAATGCATTTCACCCGCCCAATCCTTTTGAGGAACACCTGATAATGCCCGCATAAGGCCTGCAAGGGAAAAGAGGTAGCCCAGCAGCTTATTAGTAGTAGTAGTAGTAGTAGAATAGTGAAATAGTAGAATAGTAGTAGTCGTCGTTGTGGTCGTATTAGCTGCAGTATGGTAGTAGTATAGTATTAGTGTTGTTGTTGTTGTTGTTGTTGTTGTAGTTGTAGTTGTAGTTGTAGTTGTAGTTGTAGTAGTAGTTGTAGTAGTAGTAGTAGTAGTAGTGGTGGTAGTAGTAGCAGTAGTAGCAGCAGCAGCAGCAGTAGTAGTAGTAGTGGTAGTAGTAGTCGTCGTCGTCGTCGTCGTCGTCAACGTACTTGTGCTAGCAGTGCTACTACTGCTACTAACTATCAATGACTAACTTCTATGATTACCTGGGATGTGAGATTATTGTGTGAGGACTTCAAATGTCTGGGCCCCTGAAAAATGATTTGCAGAAGCAATATGGTAATAAAATAGTGATACAATGAATTGCCTGACCTCTTTGGTAAATCCTAAAAGCCTGACCCAACTCTCAACCTCCGTCCCCATAGCAGTCGGGATGCACGGGCATGGCAATACTCCCCCAGCTGTCTCCAGCCAGCATGGTCTGCAGAAAGGTCAAGTTAGACTGCAGTATTGATGAGAAAGCCTCTCTGCATTCTTTACCTGGGTCCGGCGTGAGTGGGCAGCGAAATCAGATGCAAAGATCTCTATTGATGCCCCTGTATAGCTCGCAACGCCTATGCACCTAATTATACGGCAAGCCTCGTTTCACCTTGCAAGCTCCCTGCAAATTCACAGTAAAACTTTTGGCAGGGCCAAGGCGCAATCGCTAAACTCGCCTTCATCAGCCAGCTGTTGGACAATGGGATTTACGAGCTCCACCGCTACCATCGACCATAACGTTGTGGCAATGAAGCCTGTCTTGCGAGAACAATGAGGGGTTCAGCACTTGGGGCCTACTGGAGCTGGTCCACACTTGCGGAGACTTGCTTAAATGCTCCATAGACAAACTTTCCAGGGGGTAAAACTGAAAACTTTAACCTACGAGACAAAGCTGGGACCCGAAACCCTGAACCAGCGGACCCTGGACCCCATCCTAATTCCCGGGCCCCACAACCGCAAGCCCCTAAGCAACTCGAGAGACCCTGCAACAAGGTGGTCAACAGCTACAACCTTCAGGCAAGGCTTACGCGCGGATTTGGGCGAATGCCATATGAACTGGAGCCTAAGTTCCATGAAGTACCTACGACCGATCATAAAGCCATAAAGCCTAAACCCTAGTGACTCCCTGCACCCCTCAAGGCTTCCGAGCAAGAAGCAGAAGAGGAAAGACCAGCCAAGCGTGCGAATCACGCTTGCAAACCTCTGCGGGTTCAGGGCTTCGGTTCAGCTGTCGGGTCTCTAGACAGTCCCCAGGTTAACCTTTTGGTCTATACTTCTTCTGGTGTCTGGGTACGGCATGTTAGGGCGCTTAAGGGCTTACAGTTGGGGTTCATGGGGCTCAAGGCTTTGGGTTCAAAACTCGTACAAGTGCGGGTGTGCTTTGAGGCTCAGGGCCCAGGGTTGAGGTCTTACGTTCAGGGTTTGGAAGCTTCGATTCTGGTGGTACGGGGAGTGATTACGAGGTATGGTCCCCCTCAAGTAGATAGAATATGCGGTAGAGGGGAACCTTGTTATGACAAATCGGCAATTTCATATTCTATCTACTCACGAGGGGCTGTAGCTGTACAACAACAATGCCTTCGGGTTTGGGGGAAGGCGTTCGGCTCGAAGTCTCTCTGTTTGAACCCTCGATAGGCGCTTAACGGGATTCGACGCTGTATATGGAGACTGCAAAGGGGCTGTATCATATTGGCATCATACCGTGAGACGATCTTTCAGGGATTTCAGAAGTGTACTGGGGTCGCTGGTTTTGAGACCCTGCAGGCAGCTTGCCACAAAAATTGTGTTGGAGGTTCATTTGTGTACTGTACCAGTTCCCAATAGCTATCCAAACCCTGAACCGGGACCCTGAGTCAGGAAAAACGGGTTCGGTAGTGTAGACCCATGATTAATAAACCCCCTCCTGTAAGGGCCTGAATATTAGGATCCCTATTATAATCCCTGTTAATGGGGAGGGGTTTATTAATCAGGGGTTAGCATACAAGTCCCCTCCGGCGAGGCACACTGCTTGCCCTAGGGCTTCGGGTTTAGGATTTGGGGTGGCCCCTTAAGAGGCACCAAAGAAGAACCCGGACCAAACTTTCACATGAAACACGAACCGGAACAACTGGAGCACAAGCCTTAGATAGTAGCTTCCATTTTCTTTCCCATTATCCCTATATATATATATCCAACATAACTAACCACTATGTAACTCAACAACCCTAGATCCCAAAACTACCCAAGGGCAAACGAGAAACATCATCATGAGCTTTCGCAGCTCACGCAACGAGGGCGACTTCCGAACAAAGCGGATAAGCCGCGTGATCCTAGCCTTGCATGCAAGGGCTACAGCTCACAAAGCTATAGGACATCACCGCGGCTGTGATCCTACTATTTCGGATGTGCACAGGAAAACCCAACTTCAAGAAAGTCCCAAGCAGAGTTAAAAGGTTTTAGTGGGTCGCAGAATCTCGGTGTCGTGAAGAAACATGCCCCCAAGAGTTGCAGAGCGTCAGCCCAACAACTGTCAAGCATGCGTAGTCAGCCATGAAGATCAAGAATGTGCGAGACAATCATCATTCAAGGTCTTTCCCGGTGTGTCCATGTAGCTGTATAGTATATACTTGGGTCTTAACATAGCTATATGGGAATCCTGTTGGGCCCCAAGTATATACTATTTACCTACATGGACTATTTACCTACATGGACCCTAAACCCTGAACCCTTTGGGTTTAGTTTTCCGACTTTAGTCTAGGGTCCGATGTCTCACACATCAGGGAGTCACGGCTCTACGGGCAAGATTCAAGCAAAGCTTAAGAATCTCCACCTAACTTACTGGTGCTTAGTAGGAACAAAGGAATATAGCCCTATGTAAGCCCTATATTATATATATATACGTATTCCCTACTAAACCCAAATCCTGATCAAGCAGCATTCAAGAACTGAAGAACCCCAACTCCCAAAACCCAAGAATCCAAACGTCAAGCAAAGTTCAAAGCCCCAGGAGCAATGCGAAGGAGCTTGACGACACGAACCTCCTCTGCACTACTTCCTAGGCTGCAAGGAGGTAGGATTTCGGGCTTACCTAGGGATCCTGAGCTTCCATGCTGCGGGTTTTAGGGTTTAGGGGTGTAGGGCTTATAGGGTTTATAGGAGATGCTTTAAGGTTTGGATTGCTGCCGACCAAATAGGAGTCTCTGCAAATGGCGTTTTTTCCGGGGCTCAAAACCCGAGACCCTTGTCTCGGCATTCGAGGCTCAAGTACGCTAAACCTTCAGGGGGCACTTTTCGGTCCCTATAGTAAGGATGATAAAAATGTCGGCCTCTAAAATCTGGGCGACCCCATTTGTTAAAATCCCCATATGACCTACGGAACGCCTGCCTTCAAAAGCCAAGCTTCCCAGAAACAAGAACACTACCTCGGTGATGGAGGCAATCACAATGCTCGCGTCGATCCACCAGTTAAAGGATCGTAGCACACGCCACCCGCCCACGAACGCATGCCAGAATAGCTCAATCATGTAAAATGCCAGGCAACCCTGTCAGGGGTTTAGGTTCTAGGTTTTCGTTTTTTTTGTGCAAATCCAGGCCGCCATCAACAGACTTCCTGCCTCAGAGAGCTCAGTTTCATCAAGGCTTCAACACAAGCAAGGCTTTTGTGCTTGGGTTTCAAGGTTTAGCTTCTTGCTGCCGCTAGCATACTCAAAACATAAAGGGACTGTACTGGGAACCCCAAACAGGGAACCCCAAGAATATAGCAGGAATATAACAGAATATAAGGACCCTGGTAGGTATGTTCCCGTTCTATTCCTACTATATTCTTGGGGTCCCCTGTTTGGGGTTCCCAGTAAAGCCCCTTTAAAACAGGGGTTCCACAATGGAAGGCCCCTAAGCCCCGAACCGCGTAGCAACCCAACTTAAGCTGCCCTTTGCTTGCAAACCAGAAATGGCCCACTCCTAGCTAGCATGGTTTCGACCTTAGACACACCCGCCCGAAGTCCCACTGACCTCCTATGAGACTGAAATCTGCACATGGCCACAGATCCCCACCACAAATCAATCCCAAGTAATTCCTGTAAGCTGTTCAGCACCCCCCATTTTGTCTCACATGACCACAATCACCCCCCTTTTGCAAACGGCAGGCCTGACATACCAGAAAGGCCCAGGTCGGACCAGGAGCACCAGCTGCTCTTAGATCAATGTCCTTCAGGGCTTCTGCAGGGTTTATATAGGGGATGTGAGGGTTGAACTTGAGAGTTTGGACTTCGGGGGTTTTAGGTTTGGGGGTTTGGGGTTCAGGGCTTGGGAGCTAGGCCTCTGCAGCACCCTCTGCCAGCAATTTGGGGAACCCCCACAAGAACATGTGTTCAAAGGCAGGCTCATGAAAGAAGGTCACGCGTCAGGAGTGCAACCCTATGGCCCTATGGTTTCCATTAGCTTCTCCATTTTGCTTCTCCACTATTGGGTAACATCCATATTACGACCCCATAACCCATAACAACCCTGCAAGCACTTGGCCTCCCTAAACCCTCGGCCCTTAAGACTCTTAAACCCTAAACCCCTAGACCCTTAAACCCTCAACCCCTAAGACCCCCGGTGTCCACGCAGGCCAGGCCCAAATCGATGCAGACAACCAGCCCAGAAAGTACATCCATGTACCTGGGTTTAGGGGGTTTAGGGTTTAGGGGGTTTGGGGTTGGGGGCTAGGGGGTAGGTACCTGGGTCTAGTAGGATGCAAGGGATTTTATTATACAGAAATGATGGACGAAACTACTATTAAGGGTTTAGGGTTGTATTTTTTGTTTTCCCTCATTCCCCACTAATCCCCAGTAAGTCGTGAAAGAGGGCTGCACAATGGTACAAAAACCCCGGGGTACGTGGCTTCCCCTGCTGAACGTCTGTGCAGGGTTGGCATAACCTCTTGCTTGCCTTGGGCCCAACCCTAAACCCTAAACCGCTTGCAAGGGGCGCAGCCTTTCGCTTCATGCGTGGTTTGGAGCTCTCAGACATAGACTAACCCCCGTCTCGACCCATACCGTGGGCGTTTCTCAGACTGGGGAGTACTTGTGAGACCGAGGTTGTGGGGTCCCACTCGCGAGTAACTCAACCATCAATCCTGCAGCTACACGAAATTGGAGTTTGTCTAGGGCCCTACTTAAGCAGGATTACTGCGAGGAACGTCTAGAAAATCGAGTATCTCAAAATCAAGGCCCTCAATCCCCGTGCTTATCAGGCGAGCAGGAAGCATGGAAAAGTCTCAAAGGTTCTTTCTTAATTACAAACCGCTTAGGACATCTGCACCTTTATTCTTAGCCCCTGCCCCCAATACTCAACCTCCCAACCCCCCAATACTACCTTCGGGGTATATTAAGGGAACATGTATTATCAGAGGGGTGGTGGGGGCTTAGCATAAACCCTGCAAGCCCTAGATAACATGACAAAGTGGTTTCCTTGTCCGTTCCCCTATATTCCCTGTATCGGGGTTTTTTCTGACCCTGAACCCTAAACCCTAAACCCTAAACTCTAAACCCTAAACCCCTAAACCCTAAACCCCTAAACCCTGGAGCCCCCGAACCCTAAACTCTGTAAGTATGGATCAAGGCGCGTTGAATGCAGCCACTTCCTAGCCACTGACTTTACAGATTGCGGAGTACCAGGAAAATCGATGGAGTCCATGCTGCGCTTGATGGCGCTCTTGATGTACTGCGATGGTCCCCCTTGCAATGCAAAAACTACTATAATGGGTTTACATAGGGTTTAAGGTTTAGCGTTTAGGTTATATAGGGTTGAAGGTTTAGGGTTTACGTAGGTTATATAGGGATAATGGAAAAGAACATGGAAACTACAAAATTACGCAGGCTAGCGTAACGCACTCGCTGCTTTCAAAAAACACGCATATACCCTGCACAGCGTAAGGACACCCCTCAGCCCCAAATCTCACGAAAATTACCATATTGCCGTTGACTATACTTGACCAGGGGAAATGTTTGTCTCTAGCATTCACATGGTGAAGGGCAGACTGTCAAAGACAATAAGGGCTACAGTGTCCCATACCCAGTAACAGCCTACAAAAAGGATACCCTAAACCCCTAAACCCTAAGCAAAGGGGTAAGATTCTCTATACCTCAGGCAAAAAAGGGTACTACTGGGTATCTAGGAACCCCTAATTTTGGGAAACCCTAATCCCTATAATCCCCTATATACCCTCAGTTTCCATTTCATTTTCCATTTTCTTTTCCATTTGATTCTCCATTCTAGGGCCCTAACCCCTAAACCCCTAAACCCTGAGACTAAGCCCCACAAGGGGCAGGTCTGCCCTTCCAGGTAGCTTTCAAGATGGCAGCCACGCGGTTAAGGTTTAAGGTTTAGGGTTTAGGGTTTTTAGGGTTTAGGGTTTTTAGGGTTTTTAGGGTTTTTAGGGTTTTTAGGGTTTAGGGTTTAGAACTTAGGGTTTTGGGTTTGCGTATTGCCCCCACATTCATCTGTCACGAACAATCAACTAGGGTTGGCGTGGGCGGCCCTATAAAGATACATTTCTACGGCTTCATGAGGAATAAATACACATTTATATAGGAACCAATGGATTACTGAATACCAGATGTAGGAAAAGGTGAGTTTCCAGGAGCGCGGGGGAGTTGGCAAAGGAATGGCAGACAACATGGATGCCTGAATAGTGGCCAATATCATGTTGAGGTCTATTTGCAGCCCATGCTATAACTCTATAAGGAATCTAGCAAAGCAATGTTGGTAATTATTCAGGCCACTGTATGAGCTATAGTCTGAACTCCTAGCATCCCCCTTAATAACCCAAATGATAATCCTCTATATACTCCGCTACATAAGCCCCCAAGGAGTATGGGCCCTCTCTCTCTCTCACGTGCTCAGGCGGACCTGTCAGACGCTTCTTTCTGAGGGCCGGGCCAACCTGCTCATGTGGCACATCGCTCTCAGCTTGTCAGTGCATAAGCACAGGTCCCCAGAATACAAACTTACAGAGATAGACCCTAAACCCGAAATCCTAAACCCTAATCCTAAACCCTATAAAATCCCATCCAAAGCCCCCTTTAAGGAGTTTAGACTATAGTACATATTAGGCCAGGGCTCCTTTGAAGTGAACTGCAGCAGACGCTACACCAATCTCTGCCTCGCTTGCTCAGTTTTCTCACAGGAAATCATGGTTTAGAGTTTTGGGGGTTTAGGGTTTAGGGAATTAAGGGTTTAGGGTTCAGGGGGTTTGGGGGTTTACGGAATGAAATGCTTAGATTTCTAGGGAATTTCAGGTTTAGGGTTAAGGGAATTATGGGTTTAAGGTTTAGGGTTTAGGGATTTGTTAAGTCAGCCCAGCCCCTATGATAAGGACCCTATAAGCCTATCACTATCATATGACTTCAACAGGATCCCCAATTTTGCGGGTTGAGGTAACGAAGCTCCTCTTCGTATGGTGGGCGCCATGAATGACAAGGACGGGGTGGGTTGAATCTATTGAATATGTTTCCTGTTGCGACTTCAGGCTACCTGTCTTAAAACAAATCACGACCTCGTCAAAAAAAGTACTCCTTGGGGCTTAGCTGCTGACATCTCGTGCGTCTCGAGGTCGCTGGCTGCAGCCATATCTTCCAGAAGTATGAACACGAGCCCTAAGAGCTCGCAGCTGAATTAATGCTGACCTTTGGAATCAAAAGGTTTGTGACAATGGAACCCACAAACAGGGGTGTGCTCAAACTCTGATTCGTTAGAGAGTCTGGGAGTCAAAAGCATGAAGCAGAGAAAAAACACAAACGAGCACCCAAACCAAATTCAAAACCTCAACCCCAAAACCTTTCTTCCTGAAGTGCTCTCTGAGCTGAGCTCTTAAACTCTAAGCCCTAGACATAAGCCCTACCATAAGCCGTAAGCCCTAAACGCTAAACCCATACACCCTAAACCCATAAACCCTAAAATCAAACATTCCAAAGGTCAACAAAGGCACCTAATGTTGCCCTTGCCGAAACTGTTCCGCAGAAACGGCTGCGGGGGCATTCAAACACTCTGAGGTTAGGGTTTAGGGTTGCTGGGCTTGAGTTTGGGCATAGGGTCCCAGCTTATGTTGTTGAATTTGTGCTCGCAACATGTTTGTTCCCGTGACTGAGGCTTACGAAGCTGCACAAGGTGTCAGGCTCAAGACTGTAAGGCACGGGGCTAAAATACTGTTCATCTGCAGGCATCTTCAGTTCATCATCACCAGGCAGGGGCAGCTGTTCTGCGAGGATTTCTTGAACCTTCTTTCCTATCCGCCTGTGACCCACATGTAGTCCTGAGGTCCCTAATGTTCGTTCGGAGCCCACTCCGCATCGTGAGTTGAAGGAGTTGCATGGGACTTGCAAGCAAAATCTGATAACCCACAAGGCCCATGAAACCCGAAGCATGCGTAATCTGGATGCGGAGCCTTTCGCAGCCTCTGGAAGCAGCAAGAACCTCTAAAGGAAAGTAGAGTAAGTAGCACCAAGCTTCGAGCAAAATTATGGGGCTATGTTGGGGTTATATTGGCATATATAGGGGTTATACAGGGATAATGGATCAGAAAACGGATACTACTATTTAGGGTTTAGGGTTGTAGGAGTATGTACCAACAACCCTAAACCCTCACCCAAAGTGCCCACGTGGCCGCAGATGCTACGAATGCGCCTTGCTGTTGAACTTGCTCTCAATTTGCTGCTTCAACAGGTCGACGGTGTTTAAGTAGTTGGTGAAGATCAGAACCTTCTCGTCCCTTGGGATGCATTGCTTGTGGATCAGGTCTAAAACCCCCACATAATCCCTATACACGCCCTATAATACCACAGTACTTTCCATTTTCCTTTCCATTAGCCCTATATTCCCTACTTATCATCACCCTAAACCCTAAACCATCAATAAACCCCATTATAACCCCCATACAACTCCTATATACCCTTTCAGGAAAGAAAGTAAGGCACCCCTGAGCTCAAGGTCAGGCCTAAGAATCTGCTGCTCCTTCTTTGCTATTTTGGGTTTAGGGTTTAGGGTTTGAGGTTTAGGGTTTTTTGGTGTAGGGTTTGGGGTTTAGGGTTAGGGTTTAGTGTTTATTTATGCAAACTGAATCCTAGCAAACATTGCAGTCCCTTTACAACACCCCAACGATAGACACTGCACTGGTCTTAAAAACCGCGGTCCTACTGATCATAAGAACCCTTATCCTCGTGACCCGCAGAACACTGGAAGGAAGCGCTGAAAACCCTAGAGCAAGCTAGCCACAAATAATTATCATGAAGCTCTAGCGTCATTCATAGTATCTCTAATCTCTGACGGACTACGTATTGGCTACTATTCAGATATTAGGTGGGTATTTTCTACCTGGCCCTTTGCAGCTGGTTTGGGTTTGCCAACGAACCCCGCAGCGCAAATATGTCGTTCTCGAAGGGACCTTCTATACTTTCCTAAAGAACCCATGAATTCCGTACCGAATCCCTCTCCATGGTCAGAACTCAGCCAAGGAACGCTGCAATGATGGACTCCATCAGCTCATGGAGCTTTGCCTTTGGGTTATACAGGGTTTAGGGCCTCAACTCCTACGGGAGCATCATAGGGGTTAATTCAGGGGGATACTAGGAGTTTAGACTATAGCCCATGTAAACTTTCAACTGAAACCATACAGGTG